TGTCGAGTGTTTTTGTAGTGAGGAACAGATCACAACACAGCCCACTGACTGTTGAACCAATCTCAGTGCCATCTCTGAGAGCATCCTTGAAAACAGAGGACAGAATCATCCCAGAGCTAAAAGTCACCAAGGTGCTGACAGCAAGGTCGCTGGGATTTCAGGCCTTATTCTCCCACAAGGCCTGGGATGCAGCCCTTGCATCCCACCACAGCGCATGTCCACTGAAGACACAGCGACGTGCCAGTCGGTGGTGCAGGTGTGGTGGGCTGCAGTAACCAAGGCAGGCAGAAGCACCACACAAGAGGGCTCTGCTTGAAGCTCGGGAGGGGCGTGGAGGTGGGCCCTCTGGGCAAGCAGGACATCCGCCAGTCCCTAGGCCCCCAGGGGACTGCCAGCTCACCAGGGCCAAGTCCGAGTGTCTGCTGAAAGGAACATAGGGGTCGCGCACGGAATCTTAGTCCTGGGGGATTCTAGGCTGAGGCAGGGGGATCAGTGCGAGTTTGAAGAAAGCCTGGGCCACAAGTGAGCTCCAGGTTAGTCTGAACTGCAAGGCGAAACTCTGTCTCAGAAAGACAGAAAAAGCAAACAAACACACGAGAGAGAGAGAGAGAGAGAGAGAGAGAGAGAGAGAGAGAGAGAGAGAGGAAAAAGAAAGAAAAAAAGCCAAAAGCCAAAAGCCTGTTTTTCATAATTAAAAATATGGAAAGCAAAGCCGAATAAAATGCAGGGTAAATAAGACACATTAGCAAATTTTTTGAGGATCAAGCATAGGGTCTTCAGACTAAGTTACATCCCCAGCCCATTTTTAAAAAATTTCCTTATTTAAGTGTTCACGTCAGCAGCAGACATACTAAAATAATAGATAAATAAATAAATCCTCATTCATTCATTCATTTATCTTGAGATAGTCTTGCCAAGTCAGTGAATTGTCCAGGAGGGGCTCAAATGCCTGCCTCAGCCTCTCGGAGAGCTGGGATCACAGCGCGTCTTCACACCTGGCTTAACAAGTATCTTTAAAGGGGACCGTTGCATTTATTTTGGCCTAGCAAATGGCTCTGTAGCTCACAGGGACACCTTCTCAGTGTCTCTTCCGGCTGCTGCTCTCAGTGGCCCGTGCCAGTCGCCTGGTGCCCTGTAGTAAGCTACGATGCTCAGTCTCTCACCCAGAGGTCTGTCATGGGTGGCAATGAGGAGGCCACAGGAGCTCTCTGCTGCTGGAGGAAGGGCAGAAGCCAGGCTGCAGGGCTTGTCAAGGCCAGACGGTGTCAGCAGAGTCTCAGTTTTTGTCCTGGCTGTAGTGGGAGCCCACTGAGAGCTGTTTATAGTCAGATAAATCTCATTATGTTGCCTAGGTTGGCCCTGAATTGCAGGTCTCAAGCGATCCTCCTGCCTCAGCCTCCAGAGGAGCAGGAACTACAAGAGTGTGCAACCATGCCCAACAGAGGAAAAATTCCATTTCATTTGATTTCTTTCTCTTCTTTCCTTCCTTTTTTTTTGGGGGGGGGGTGAGGGTGTTGTAGGCAGCCGAGTTAGATAGAAATATTAGAGGCAGTCAGACAGGTTCAGGCCCTCGAAGGAGAGAACAAAGACCAGACACCTTACAACTGTGGGAGGGACAGATGCTCCTGCTCTGAGCCAGACCTGAAGACCAAATATGTGCTAACCTCCCTAAAGATTAGCATCCTCGGATTGATCATTACCCTGAGAAAGCCAAAAAGAATCCTTATCTGATGGCTCCTGTTTTACATTCATGCCCCTTTGCTACATGACTCCCTTCCCCATTTGGTCCCGGACTTAATCAATTTTACCTGAGCAATGGTGCTTGTAATCTCATAGTGTAATCTCAATGGTGCTTGTAGTCTTGGTTGACCATAGTTTTGTCCCACCCCACATCCACCTATGCGAGTTCCCATTTTCTCCACCTTAGCCCCACATGATTTTACACTATAAAAGTCGAAGAGACAGCCTCCTCGGGGGAACAACCTGCTGCAGGGGGTCGGGGGGCTTCCTGTCCCTCTCTTGGACAGGAGCTTTCTTTCCCTCAATAAATATATTCTGCTCATAACCTCCGTTTGTTCCTAAAATTCATTCTTTGGTTTTAAAGAACATGAACTCGTACAGGTTGGAAGATCTTTTTTCCCTATGTCGTTTGGAGGTTCCCTATATCATTTGGAGACTGGGATCAAACTTGTGACCTTCTTGAGTGAGGTGTTTGTTTTTTGTTTTTTGGTTTTTTTTTTAATAAGAAGAGAGGAAACCCAGATGTTGGTCTTGGTCCTATTTGGATGATGAGATTTTGGGTCATCTTTACTTTTTAAAATAAACTTTTATGTGTTTTCTGGAAAATGAGTGCTTTTCATTTTAAAGACTTAAATGAGAGACAGAGTACATGTATAAGTAGCTGCAGATGGTCTGTTAGAGACTGTGCTCTGAGGGTGGAGATCGGAGGTGATACCAGGTCACTGGACCCCCAGGATGATGGATGAGATGCCCTAAGAGACAGAAGTGGGGGGCCTGCTGGTGACTGAGGAGAGAGACCACTGTTTTTCTCTTTCTCGCAATGTCTGTACTCGCTCACCTCGCAGAGACTCTGCTAAACACGCAACTGCTGAGTCAGCACTAGGGAGAGTAAAGTTAAGTCGGCTGTGTTCATCTTGGTGGCACTGTACTTTCAGTCTCATGTTCGGTGGTATAGTAGAAGGGGTTTTATTTCTGGTTGAAAAAGAAAATAAAAAAAAAAGAAAGAAAGAAAAAGAAAATCAAACATTAGCAAACACCTCAGTTATTTGTGGCAGCGGAAGAGGCCTTCTTGGAGCTCCCGAAATTACACTACCACTGGCTTTGCTTCCAGTGAGCAGGGCAGGCCTTGACAAGGCCACATGCCCTGTCTTTTCAGGCAATTTTCAAACAAACTAGACTGTCAGAGGCCTTTCCTCCTGGCACAGCTCTGGCAGCTGGTGCCAGCTGGGCAGGGAACCCCTGGAGGGCTCTTAGTGCCACCCGGTAAGCGCTTCCTGGGGCTGGTCAGGCAGAGAATGTGGAATTCCCTGAGACCCACGCCAGGCCAGGCTGACTATTTCCTTGAGGATCACGGAAAAAAGGAAGCTCTCTAGAGAGCTGGTAGGCCTAGGAGGACTTCTTTTTCTTTAATTCAAGTAGGATTCTGGTGGCAGGTGTCTATTCTGGGAGGTTTAGCAGGTACATTGTAGGTTCTACCTTCTACCACAAGCCAATAATGCAACTGCCTGAGAAAAGTGAACAGCATTTGGTTGTTTTTAGTTTCTTCCCCTTTCCCCACCTAAAACTGGGGGTTGATTCCAGGGCCTTTGCGCTGAGCCACATACCTTTTTTTCTTATATCTTTCATTTTACAGTTTTTTATTTTCACACAAGGCCTTGCTAAATTGTTAAATTATCCAGTCTAGGCTCAAAATTATGACCCTCCCACCGCAGCCTCCCACAGTGCTGGGATTATAGATCTGTGCCACCTTGCCAGGCCAAATAAACATCACTAGGTACTTTGTATACTTTATTTAGAACAGGAAGGCTGCATATGTTGCCAAACTGCCAGCACCTCTAAGCAGGAATTCAGGTTAGTTGGTTTGCTTGTTGTTTTAAACAAGTATGACCAATAAAGATCTTTTCCTCCTGGAAGAGTGCTATTCATTTAAAAAGGCAGCTTCTCTTTCCACCCGGAAGGGTCAGTTGTCTTTATAGTAGTAGAAATGGAATCACCACCCAAACAGACTGATGGCAGGAAGCTACAGGTACTGTGGCCCTTCTACATCCTCTGTGCCCATCTGGCCCGTGGGGCACTCTGTCTTGCGACAGTCACTGCTCAGCCTGCTGCATTCCCAGGCATGGCTCTTTCCTATGTTCTCTTTTATTTTGGTTTCACTTGTTGGTAACAGAAAGGAAAGCTCAGAGGCGTTTACAGGCAAGCAGACTGATTTATTAGAAAAAAAAAAAAAACAAAACCATGGAGAATAGCCATTCTAGGAGCTGGAAAGATGTGGTGGAACTGGAAGGCCTGAGCCTGGGCACAGATGCAATCTCTTGGCAGGAGACTCTGGGTGTTTACAGGAAAGGGCTGGGGGACAAATGCAAAGGGGCATGATGATCCAGCTGAGCTGAGCTCAATGTGGCTGCACTGGGGGCCCCAAAGAGTATCATGGAAAAGTGGGATAGGGAGGCAGTGAATGGGGGCTCTTTGTGAAAATGAGAGTGGGGCAGGTGAAGGAGTGCGTGAGACATTTGAATATTGGGACAGGGGAGAGGGAGCCTGAGTCTGAGATCAAGATGGGGGATAAGGTGATAACCATAGCAGAAAGCTAGATGAGAAAAATCCCACAGCATGAGTTCAGCTTGAGCTCCAGGGAAGGAAGACGCAGCAGGATCCAGCCAGAGAGCAGGCCTGAGGCCTGGTTGTGCACACTACCCACTAGTTTTAGGCATGATTCTTTCCTTCCTAGAGTCGCTCAACCTCTAGCCCTGCTCATTTCAGTTTTCTATTCACTCATTCGGCTGTGCAGCAGTTGGGTCAATCTCTGTCCTACAGGACTCGGCTTCGAAGGTCCCCAAGGCTCTATGGGCAGGCTAGGTGCACGAACATGCCTGTGCTCACTTTATTCACCTCCATCCTGATGTATCCTCTAGGTTCCTTCATGGTATTTTAACATAACATCTTCCTCTCCTGGCACCTTTTGGGTTTCCTGTATGCCTAAAACTGTTACTCCGCTGCCCCTATTCTATCAAGCCTTTTCTGCCACAGCCCATGCCAACCTAATGCCATCTCTAACCCTCAGCTGTCCTTTGAGCTTGCTCCGTGTTTTTCCCTGAAGGTTCTGGTCTTAAGGGATAAGAGTGCTGGAAGCAGTTTAGGAATCACTCCTCCATCCCCCAAACATCGGCACAGAAGCTGGTTGCGAAGGGCCTACTCCCTGCACTCTAGCAGTGGCAGCGCCACCTTCCTGAGGACAGTTAAGCAAGACCTATGGGGTTGGGGGGATGCTGGCCACTATAGTCTCAAAGGGCAATGGAAGAGAGGGTGAGAACAAAGGCAGGCCGTCAGCTGGGATTCTCCTTAAGCAACCCTTTGGCTGGACTGCAGAGGGATTAGTTTGGAGTGGAGAGTGTCTGCATCCCCAGAGGCAGGTTCTTCCCTGGTGGGGGACAATGGGATGTCCTTAGAGAGGGCTTGGGCATCAGCAATGACTGTGACCTCCTCAGGCCCATTGGCAACAGAGCAGATGGTCAAGGGCTTTTTACCACATGACCAGAGGCAAAAGAAGGGCCTGAGGGGGCCAGAGAAAGAGACATCGGGGAAAGTATAGATATGAGAGCCGTTGGACATGTTGTAGAAGGAGATGTCTCCGGAGTCATAGTCCAGGAAAATACCAACCCGACGAGGGGATCCTGCTAATGGGAGAGGGGTCCGGAGTGGGGTGAGAGCCCAGTATCCATTTCCATACAACTCCACAGCCCAGAACCCATTCTCAGGAGTCAGGGGGTCAAACCCTTTCTTTATCACATTCTCCCTGCACACCCCAACTGCCCAGTCAGTCCTGTCTCCCACCTCTACTTCCCAGTAGTGTCTTCCAGAGGTGAAGGCCTCCCGGCCTAACACACAAGGCCAAGAGTCAAATCTCTCTGCTTTTTCAGGTAGTTTCTGACGCGAATCTTCCAGTCGTACAGATTTTGAATCCGCATACAGAAAGAGATGAGGGTGGGCAGTGTCTGGATCCAGAGTCACATTCACTGGAGATGGACACAAAGAGTGATCACCTTGGGTTCAGGAGGGTACGGGACCTGTCTTTCCTTCTGCATAAAGCAGAAATCTAAGAGTGGACACAGGCCCTGCGGGAAGAGCAGCTTGCCCTTTCCACAGTCTTCAATCCCTGCAGTTCTTCCTCATCAGCAGCCACAGGTGATACAGAAGCGGCCAGTCCCTAATGGGACCGTGACAGACGGGGCTCATCTCCTAACATCTCTCAGGGTCTCTCTAGGAGCCTCCAGGGAGAGTTGAGGCCATCTGCCCATCACCTCTCCCTGTCCTGTGCTCCTCACTAAAGTGCTTTAGTGTTTCTGTGCCCAAGTCTCACAGGCCTGTGAAGGCAGAGGTGGCCGTGGGGGTGAGGGTGGGGTGGGGGGATGGCGGTGGGGGTGAGGATGAGGGTAGGGATGGGGTGGGGGTGGAGTGGAAAGGCTGCAGAGGCTTTGGACATTCAGACCTACTGACCTGCATGCAATGAAGCCTTTTTTGATTCTGCAATGAAAGAGAGAGTGTGTTAGAGATAGATTGTAAAATAAAAGAGACAACTTTGCAGATCAAATAATGACAAGACAGAACTTACTGAGTTCTTCCAGGAGTTTCTCTGGAAAACAAACAAAATTACCTCAGTGGCTTTTTATAATGGACCCGAGGGAGGGGATGAGATTAGAGTAGGAAACTCATAAAGGAGGAGTTCATGACCACCTGATTACTGAAACCAGGAAATCAAGAACAGGATTTGTTTTATTTTCTAAGAAATATTCAGGAAGTTCCTCCTGGCTGAGGATGGGGTGAGGATCAGATCTTTAGTAGATCTTTTGCTGCTGAGAACTTGAGTCAGAAGTGGGGGAAGGGCTTGAGGGTAGACAGGAAGTAAATCCTGGGTCTAAAGCACTTTGCCTCTGCTTGGGCCCTAAACCTCTCTTGTCCCTATGTAGCATCTGATTTTAGAAGCCTCATGGCTGTCTTTTAAGAGTCAGAACTCTAGAAACAGAGATCTCCCTGCTGGGACACACTAAGGGGCACAGACCCAGCCTCCCCTGACACTTCTGCCAGGTGTCCTTGTGCATGCTGTCACTTACCTTTGGAGCTGAAGTCACTTTTCTTCTCTCTGAATCTGTCCTTGTATAGTCTCCAGATGAAAACTATGGACCCAATGGTGAGCAGTCCCAAGACCATTAGGACGACAGCCACAGCCACCTGCCAGGGAGTCAGCCTCGGGAGGTCGGGAGCTAAAGACAAAGTCCCCATGAAGGGCATGGCTTGGTAAACTCAGAGAACACCCAGCTTCTCTCCTGACACCTGGAGACAATACAACTTCCATCCCTTGCATGGCAAAAAGTCATCCCTATAATGCCAAGAAAGTTTTAAAGAAATATTTGACTTTGGGAAAGAGCAGAAAAAGAGAAAAGTGAAGAAAGGGGCATGTTTGGAAATGGGGCATATAAAATAAAGGCCATAAAGGACCGAGTCATGCCATCACAGGTGCCCCCTCTTGATGACCACTGCAGAATGGGAGCCCAAGGGTTGAGGGAGATGGTTAAGGAAGAGGAAACATCACCTGCGTGTACTAGCAAGGGACTTGCTGACTCAAAACTAGGGACAGGCTCTTATCTAAACCACAGGCCTCATCTAAGGAATGAGAGGGTTTGCTGTCTTGAGGGCCATGGAGACTTAGACCCAGGTCTACATGGGAGAAGGAGGCCAGGATGGTAATTGTCTTCTTGCTTATTCAGAGAAAGAAGCACCTAGATCAAGAAGGATCTCAATACAGAGCTTCTCTACTTCAGATTTCACATAAATTTCTAGCTTTTAGTTTAGGCTTTGAGAATCTTTTTTATTTCTTTTTGATGGTGGTGGTGGTAGTGGTATGGCTGCTGGGGAATCTAACCCAGGCCAGGCAGGCCTGGCATGTGCTAGGCAAGCACTCTTCCACTGAGCTATACACCCAGCCTGAGAGTCTTTATCCTTCTAAGGGGGTTGGGGGGGGCCTTCAAGTCAGCAGACAAGTGCTTAGACAAGAAAAGTAGACAACTCCATCATGAAGTCACTTTGGACAGGTGTCCAGCTGCTGTGGTCCTGAAGTTTCAGCAACATGCGAAGCAGCCCTGTCCCACTGACCTGCCACAGAAATCCCTACTTTCTTCTGCTGGCCAAGGAGCAGGTTGCGGACACAGCACGACACATTCTCCACAGAGGTGTCCCTGATGATCACGGAAGCTGCCACGGTGAAGAGACCCTCCTGGTCAGGACTCTTGGACTCAGACATGGACAGAAACTTCTCCCCTGTGGGAGTTCTCCACCACACCTGGGGCTCTGGGTACCACCCCACAGAGGTGCACTCCAGCCGGATCTCGCCGCTTTCTAAAACTTCCATGCTGATGTGAGGGTCAGAGCCCAGGGCTGTGGAGAGAGATGGCCCTAATCTTTCAATGGCTACTTTCCCAGAATCCTTATAACGAGGGAGTGGGGATGGAAAAGTGGACTTGGATTGGGAGAGACTCCTTTCTATATTCCATTACACAAGGAAACCAAGTAAGTTTCAGTGAAAGGATTTTCGTGTACCTTATCAGAGAGCGTTGCCTTGCTGGGATCAGCCTTCACAAGGGCCCTTGTTGAATCAGTAAGAACAGCAACATAATGATTGAGGGGCAGGTTAAGGGTTCTGGGTTGCATAAAGAAGGATACACCTGAGACTTTCTAGGAAAATGGATGCACCTGAGTCCATACTCTTAAGTGAAATGAATCAGACACACGTGCAAATTCGGCATTGTTTCTCTGATGTGAGAAACCAAAAGTGTAAATTAGGACCAAAATGCATAATAGGTATTGTGAACTAGGAAGAAAATGTTCAAATGGGGAGGGGAACTAGTGACGGGAGCAGGAAAGGAAGGGGCAAGGAAAAAAGAATTAGAAAAGAAGGAAAACATGGAAACAAAGCTTTTGTAAATAGAGAGGAAAGGAGGGGTTAAGGGGAGGGGAGGGGAGTGGGGAAAAAAGTTATGTACAATGTGATCATTACTTACATCAGTAATTTACCAATAAAATCTAATTTTAAAAAAGAGCAAAAGACATAGAAAAGAAAAGGGGGAGTCCTAGTCTGGGAGCTCCAGAAAGAGCTGTGGTTGAATGTGTATTACAAGGTGGCTTTGGGCAGAACTGGGATTAGAATATTAAAGATGGATGGAGACTTATTCTTGAGAAAAAGGAGGGCTGAAAGTTCTTTTCCCTGAAGTTGATGCTAATTTAAGTTTCCTCCTCTCATAATGTTGACTTGGGAATTTTCTTAAATGGTTTCAACCTCATCTTCCCTCGTACAGTTAATTATGCCCTAACTAAAGGCAACCTAAAGCTGTTTTTCCTGTCTGAATGTAATTGCTTTTTTTTTTTTTTTGGTACCGGAGATTGAACTCAGGACCTTACACTTGCCAGGCAGGCACTTTGCAATTCTTTTTTTAAAAATAATTTTATTGAGAAAGAAGTAGCAATGAGACAGGCTGAAAACAGATTAGTAGGACAGTTACAATAATTATTATGATGCATATTGTTGCAATTCTTTCAGTAAAAAATTTATAATTACAAAATTGTGGGAAACACGGAATTGTAGAGAAAAGCCCACAAATACGTGTCTACAATTATCTATATTCCAAGTTTATATAGATAAATGAGAATGCATATTTTCATGAAAAGGGCTACATTTTCATTAGGTTCTCAAACGTGTCTGTGACTCATAAAAGGTAACAACAGTTTTATTCTATCAAATATCTAGAATTTTATAGTCAATCTTTTTTTTTTTTTTCTTTTAAATGTATTTGGTTGTTACAGGGTCTCACTACATAGCTCTGACTGGCGTGCATCCTCCTGCTTTCAGCCTCCCCACTCTGCCCACCCAGACTCTGGCCAGCTCAGCCCACCCTAGGGGCATGTGGTGCAGGGTGATCAAACCACGGTCCCTGTGCTTGCCTAAACTTGCCTAAGCAGGCACTTTTGTCCGCTGAGCTATCTTGCCAGCCCTTTATAGTTAATCTTTACATTTTAAACTACTTTTCCCTAAAAAACAAGAGTTATATATGATACATTAAATATGGTATATATGTATATTTTAAATTGTAAGTTAGTCTAAGACACAGTAGCTTATACATATAAGCAACGTGAAAATCTCTTTCCTGTCAGTGATAGGATATTTCCTCTATAAAATTAATTATATGGATGCTGTTATCAATGGCTATGTAATATTCTCTTATATTAATACATCTTATATCAATACAATATTTATTTCTTGTATGTATAAAAATGCATTCAGAATGGACAAGGCAGTTTTTTGTGTATGTCTAACTTTATTTCATTCTTGCAAAATCTTGCTGGAGAAATGTTTCTCGGTTATAGCTCAGCAGATTGGATTTATGCCAGTGACCACTTAAGTGTGAAAGTCAAACCTCAACTTGTACTTTCTTCCAGAATGCTAATCATTTTCCAGGTTTCTCTCTAGGTTTTGTTTTGAATCAAGAAAATAATCAAACGAGTATACTTTCTAGGTGAATCAAGAATGTTAGCAAACGGCTGTGCTCTCTCTGGTCTTAGGAAATCGGTCCTTTGAGACTAAGCCATAAAGTAACCTTAAATTGCGAGAGGCGTGCAGCACAGCCTCAGTAGTGAAGAGACAGAACTTAAGTGTTGAATTCTGGGAACTGAATGAATACATTAAGATGTATTGATATAAGAGAATATTACATAGCCATTGATAACAGCATCCATATAATTAATTTTATAGGGGAAATATCCTATCACTGACAGGAAAGAGATTTTCACGTTGCTTTTTCCCTTGTCCTCTCAAACCTTCCTGCCTATCTTGAGCCTAAAAGGGATCCTGTGGGTGGATTTTAATGGTTTCAAAGCAACCTATACAGTCAGCTTGGGACCTCTAGGAGAACGTGAAAGCCTTCCAGCCTCCTCACCTGCCACTCGGAGGCGCACAGTGGCCTCCCCGGAGCTCGCGGCGTCCCGGAAGAAGCACCTGTAGTCGCCGTCGTCCGCTGTACGGACTTTGTGCAACCGCGCGGCAGCGAGCCCCTCCGCGATGCCATCGGCCACCAGCGTCACGCGCCCGCGGAACTCGGGCGCCGGGTCTCGCGCGCGCCCCTGCGGGTCCCGATGTAGTAGCATGGGCTGCGAGGGCGCCTCTCGGAACCAGCCCAGCTCCATGTGCGCAGCGCTCACGTTGGGCGACAAACGGCAGGGCAGCTCCGCATCGTTCCCAGTCGCGACCAGCACAGGCTCGGTGGGCCCAATCACGTCGAAGCGAGCTGGGGGACGGGCCGAGGACGTGTGAGGGCCGGCACAAGCCAGGCTCCCGCCGGCCTTGGTCCCTCTCTGAGACCTTTCCGGTACAACCCCAGGGACCCTCGCGACCCCTACTGGAGGGCACCAGCGGGAACACAACGGGGTCATTTGCTTTTATCGGAACCTTTCCATCTTACAGGACAAGGGCAGCGCAAGAAGGCTACTGACCTGCGCGCAGTGCGTGCAGCTGCAGGAGCGCGAGTGCGACCAGGCACGCGGTGAGCCCGGGCGCCACCATCTCTGAGCTCGCAGGCGCCCGAGCTTCGGCCTGGGGGAGAACGGCAGGAAGCTAGAGAGGCTGGGGGGCTCTGCACCACCGCTCCCCGACCTCCACCAGGCCTCTGCATTAACAGCTTACGCCCCTCGGTGCCCCATTTCCGGAGGACTCTTAGTCCGTGCCCCAGGCTGTTCGGACACCCGCTGAGCAACCAGGTACCTCTACCGTCCCACAGGGACTTTGCAGCACAGCGTAGTGAGGCATAGCGCCTATTAGTGCGCTGCATATAAATGCACGAATCATGTGGCCACTGCGCTAAATTTTAAAAAAGCTATGACAGGATAATGTATTTGCTTTTAGAAACGATAATAAAGGTAAGGCCAGAGAGGCGGAAAGGGACACAAGGGAAATGAAATCGAGAAAAGAGAAAAAGGTGTAGAAGGGGTGTTGAAGAGAGTTGAAGAGTTTGAAGAATAGAGGACCCAAGAAGGAGACCAGAGAGATGAAGGGTGGCAGCACCTACTGACCTCGAGGGTCTGGTCGTGGAGGAAAAGACACCAGGACGGTCTGCCACAGAGTGAAAAGCAGGTTGTGGCCCCTGGGGCAAAAGTTAGAAGCCTGCAGCAGAAGGAAAGGGGAAGTGCTCGCCTGAAAGCCTGCCTCCAGGGCCTGATGCACTCCCTTTAGGGAAAAAATGAAAAGCTTCCTAGAGAGATAGAGAGCTCGGGAGTAGTGGGCTAGATAAAGAGGGACAGAAGGGAAAAGGAACAGAGCCAGGGAAAAAACTACAGAGAAATACGAGGACTTCAGCCAAATAATCACCTCTCCAAGCCTTAGTTCTCTTATTTTAGAAATCAAAACAGGTTTGCCCCCTCTAATCCCAGCACTCTGGATGGCTGAGGCAGGAGGACCTCAGGCTGGAGGCCAGCCTAAGTAATTTAAGAATTTAACAGCCAGTTTGGTGGCCCACAACTGTAATCCCAGCACTCGGTAGGCTGAGGGAGGAGGATTGTTATGAGTTCAAGAGCAAACCAGTGTTGGCTACAAAGTGAGCACAAGGTTGGCCTGAACTGCATAGGGAGACCCTGCCTCAAAAAAGCAAACAAACAAACAATGAAAAAAAAAAAATTAGCCCAATCTTGACCCAAAGTAAAAAGTACTGGGAAATGTAGCTCAGCACAAAAGTCCTGAGTTCAGTCTCCGGTATCAAAAAGGTGGCAGGGTGGTGGTGGGGGCGGTTAATGATCCCTCTTGGGGGCTGAAGCAGGGCCTAGGCCAGTCTGGGCTACAGAGTTCAAGTCCAGCCTGTAGAGAACTGGCCTATAGAAGAAGATTATCTCAAAACAAGCAAATAAAAACAAACAAAAGCATAATCCTCACACCCTAGTTTTGATCCCCAGTATTGCTACAATATCTCCAACAAAAACAAAGGAATAATGTCACTAGGTCCTGGGGATGTCACTGGGGATGTGTTGGGAGGATTAAATTAGATAAGCAGGTAAAATGCTTACCACATACCAGGGGCCCAGAAAAAAAGTAAGTTGCTATTTTATTATTACTGTATTTGTGAGGGTTGAAAAATAAAGGTCAGAGAGTACACAGCAGCCAACTCTTTCTCACCTTACCACCCTTTTGTCCCAGGGAGGACACTGGGGGTGGCTTACATCCTTGAAGAAGGTGGGGGAAGGCACCAGGTCAAGAGGAGAGACTCAGTTCCCAGGGCCCAGCACTGCCTCCCTAAGGACATCTCTGTACAAAGATTCCCCATCCCCCTCAGGCGCTGTAGATAGAGCCCAGGGCTTGGGGTGATAGGCAAGGGCTTTACCACTGAGCTACAGCTACAGCCCAGAATGGGTCTACCCCAAGGATGGTTCTCTCAGGGAAACTCATAGGGCCAGAATTTTTTATTTTTTTTTTAATGCTTACGTACATCACAGAAACAATAAGGCTTTCTTGTCCTGGATGATTACATAATTGCCAAAATTGTAAGACAGTTTGTTCTTTTTTTTCTGTTATAAATAATGCACATTATATGTAAGTTTTTGCTCCTGATTAACTGCCTGATAAATTTTCAGAAATAGAGCCATCAAGACACAAGGTAACTTACTGTCAATGTCCCTTTGTGAAACATGAACCCATCACACTGTCCACTCCAGCATCCTGCCCACCTGCCTCCTGCTGAGTCCTTCTTGCAACTCTGGGCTACTTTCAGAAAACTATCATCACTATGGGAATGTGTAGAATTTATCAAATTACTACTACAGTATTTTGCTATGTTTTATATGACAATGAAGCTGGCCATTTTTCATGTATTAATTGAATAATATATTCTAGAAATGAGCTCCAGGCTGGTCGCCCACTGTGTTCAAGACTGGTCCTGATGTCCTCTCTTAGCAATCTATACAAATTCTTTAGAAATTAAAAATAACAGATCTGCTTTATATTTATGACAAAGGTCCTCCCCAGCTTTGTAATGTGCTTTTTTTTATAATTTTTTTGAGAAATAAATATGAATGAGATAGTTTCACAGCTGATTAATAGGACAGTTTTGATAATCAATACAATGTACATTGTTATCTTCTTAGTGGTTATCCATAGTACAAGAAGCAGACAGGATATCCTATCAAAACACTATTAATACACCTCTTTCTTATCATTGAATTAAGCAAAAGTAGCTGTATATTTATCCTAACTATTTTGTATATATAAATACAAAATGATCTTTCCTTTGTATCCTTTTTTTATTGTCTGTCAGAGGTGGGTATTGTATTGGCATCTAAATACTATAGGTGTTTGAATTCAGCTAAACAATCTAACACTGTCTAGTAGTCTATAATATTAGTGGGTTATCCTCAGAAGTTATTGACTTGAGCCTTTTACAACTCATCGTATTAATATGGCTTTACTTTATATACCTCGTTTTTATACTTTTCTGCTGGATGGTTAAGACCAAGATAAAGCAAGACCTATATAACAAGAAATGTAACTTTTGTATGTGATAAGGTCAGACAAGTACCCTCAGGATTTATCCTGTAGCCCTATACCGCACTCTGTAGATCTTTTGTCAGTGTCAGCCATGAGGATGAGTCATGGCCATTGCTTGACCAATTTGCTCTCTGTGAAAGCCTGAGAAAATGTTTTTTCTCTCCATGTGACTCCCCAGGTACACTATACATCATCGATCACATTCCTCTGTGGCTCCAAAATCTTCTTGATCAGAAAATTTGGAGCACAACTGAGTTACATGTTGTTACAGTACAGGTTCTCCTATGTCTCCTGTCTTCACTGACCTTGAAAGGCTAGGACTAAAATATTGGCTGACCTTGCAGCCCTTCCTTTTCTCCAAGCTTGAACTGCTAACTTAGGTTGTTAACCCTCCAGAAGAGAAGCTAATTATTAACCTGTAATATATGCAGTTCGGTTTACCCTATCTGTCTAAATATCAAACATTTTTGGTATATCATGGAACAGGTATTTTCCATCAAAATATATATATATATAATTTATTTATTTATTTTTTAATGTAGTTGATACATGGTCTCACTACGCGCCACCACGCCCAGTCTTGGTGGCCGGCTTGGCACAGGAACGGCATGTGGTACCTGGGATCAAACCTGGGTCCTTGAGCTTGCCTAGCCAGGCACTTAAACCACTGAGCTATCTCCATAGCCCTCCATCAAATATTGATATGTTGAACTTTAAGACCTTACAGAATATGAAGGAAAAATAATTTTATAAAAGAAGAAATAAACATTTACATATTTTTATAAAGAAATTTAGAAACCTAACCATATACAGAATTGTAACAGAACAGACCTATGACATTTTTTTCTTGTGTCTTTTTTTTTTTTTTCCAGTTTTGTAATGTGCTTTTTAATAAGATTGTGACAATGACCTACTAGACTGCCAGGAAAATGATTGGTCCAAACATAAATCTCACCTTGTCACTTTTCACCTAAAAAAAATCCCTGAATATGAGTGTCCTTCAGAGATGCCATGTTTATTTTATTCATGCTTGAGAAAATATAAACCATTATAAAAACTGTTACCTTTAATTCGGACTCCTGCATCATCACTATTGGTTAATTTGTTTTAAGAACAATTTATAGAATTAATTTAAACCAGGCCTGGTGACACACATCTGTAATCTCGGCACCTTGGAAGTTGAGGAAGGAGGATCACTTTGAGTTCAAGGCCAGCTTTGGCCTAGGCTACATAGTGAGCTCAAGGCCAGTACGAACTACACAGTGAGACCCTGTCTCAAACAAAGCAAAATTGATTTAACTATCCTAGCCTGGCTTATCACACTAAGGAATGGTTAAAAATATTAGTAGTTATCTTATTTTTTTACAGTGTAACAAAATGTATTTTCATAAGTAATTATGGGTCAGTAATACTTAAAATACAGTACTTCAAAGCATTTTGCATAGATAATTTATGGATTGTACTTATTGAATAATCAAATCTAATTGTTTAACAAAGACTTTGAGAACTTTGAGTCTAGTGTTCAAAAGTAAAGAACCAAAGTATTAAATGAATCATTTTATGGCACAAGACACTATCTATGCAAACAAGTAGATTTTTGTGCTAGACGAATGGAAAAAAAAGTTAAGCTAAGCCAAAAATTCAAAGACTAGTAATTCAGAAATAGCTGGTCAACTGAGGCTGATAGAGGCCTTTGTATATCAGATTTACTTTTATAAAAATATTCCCCAGTGTGGTGGCACGTGCTTATAATCCCAACTCTTGTGAGACTATAAACGGGATCACTATAAATCCAATCTAGTAGTGAGACCCTGAACACCCTGTAAAGCCTTCCCTAAAAAATTAAAAAAAAATTCCAAACATAGTATATTTATTCTTTAGCAAAACTTCTTCCCTTTGATAACTGAAAACATTATTTTTTCATCAGCCTTGTGAAAAATACCTGTTAATTTCTTAAAGTACTGATGCAACCCTTCAGAGGCTGATTCGGCTACATTTTATTGTAGTTTTTTTTTCCCTCAATGAACCTAAGGCCCATAACTGAAGATACTGAAACAATGCTAAGATAAATATTGGTCTTAGATTTTATTCATGAACAAACTGCTGTGTTCTGGGGGAGTGTCCTCCCAAAGCACAGCTGCCTTCGCATTCCGGAGTCAAGCTGTGGACAATGTAGAGATGCAGAGCTTAGACACTGTAGTGGCAGCTGGGCATTCTTGACTGGCTGTCACTTTCTGTTCCCCTAGTTTGGCTTCCCTCCAAAGCAGGACCTGAGATAAAGATTTGGGTTCAAGTAACTTATTTGGGATGTGGGTCTAGAAAACACTGGGGAAATGTGACTGGAAGTACTATAATAAAAGGTGTGTTTTTAAAACAAACAAATCCCCAACTTTGTCTTCCTCAGGACTCTAAGTGATTTGTGGAACTAGAAACTCTTGCTTCAGAATTGTCACTGAGGAGGAACAAAGCTAAAACTCCACCCCCTAAAAGAGATCTGGAAGCAGTCAGTGCTTTGGGAACTGTATACAGGTAAGGGAACGTTAGGGGAGAAGGAGGAATCTAGGGGAGGAGAGGGAAGGAAAGGACAGGGGAGAAAGG